TGAATTTCTTCGAAACTATTCGTATCCAATATAATGCATATCAACTCGCAGTTAGCTCTCAGAGCGACCAGTTTTTCTAGCTCGATTTTTCCGAGCGTTTTTCTACCTCCGTTTCTAGCAGCCTCCTTTTACTTCTTTTGCACGCGTATAATTTGCTCCCTTTTTCTTCGAGGTTACGTTGCCGTGGCAAACGTTTCTCCTTCTTGTGCTACGATTTTCCCACTAATCGATGTGTCCGCTGGCGAACGGGGAGATTTCGGTGGGACATGGGCTGTTTATTACTCCGGAATTCCTGCGTCGCGGAATTCTGTCTGGGCGGAAGGAAAACGATCGCGGAAACCGGTTGGAATAAATAAATAATTCGTTCGTTCGGTCGGCTAAAATGATTTCTATGATAAAACCCAGCCGCCAAGATAGAAAGTGGTGTCTCTTACGTAAAGAGCAGCAGCGGATCGAAGCGAGAGGGTTAACTCCGAGATGCGTGGCCTCGTTAGATCTTGAGTTGAGATTGGATTTTTGATTTTAGTACGTGTGTATTACAGACATAATCGTGTAGATAGTGTCATACTCGTTTATATTTTTCGAAATACCTTCTGTTACACTTCATTATGAGCATACGTATTTTGGTATATGTTGGAAGTAGTCCTCAGTAAGTTATTTTTGATCTTACTACATTCAGCATCGTTACAGTATCGTTGCAGTATTATGATAGTGAAATGATCGAATAATTGATCAGTTTAGTACAGTAATTCATTACAATTGTTTATTATGTAATATATTATTTTATTTTTGTTTTTATACTATAGTGTATAATGTACAGTTCTTTTATTTTCAGTATCCAATAAAATATTTCCTATTGCAGTTATATAATTTCTATATAAGCAACCATAATGTGAAATTATTTCATTCTTGAAAAAGATATCGAGGAATTAATTAATAAATCTTTCCTTATCCAAGATGTTATTTTATAACAAACTTATATCTCTATTTTTATATATCTGTCATTATTAACTAAGATTATACAATTCCTAGCTAAGGAAGTATAATATAAAATTATACTGATTTTTAGATGGTACGAAGACCAACTGTGCCAAAATAATATTCTATAAATATTATTTTATATATTCTATTCTATAATCTATAAACATTCCATAGAAGACCAAGTGTGTCCAAAAATAATATCTAGAAACATTGGAAGAAAGGAGAAACGTTACTTCATATATGGTGAAGTGGAACACTGCGTATTTCTAAAAGTCACGTTTAAAAATTGCGAAAAAGATGAAGATATGCAGCAGCATAAAAATTGAATGAAAGTTCGTATTCACGGTATACATGTTTTATAAGCGCATAGAAAGTTTGTTGCTAGAAACTTACTCCAGTAGCAATATCTTGGAATAAGGTACCTGTTCTCGTCACGATCTCCAGCTGAACCTCCTTTATTACAAGCTGTACCCAACCGGAGGAACCGAAGCATATAACTTTGAAACGATGAGTTGTATTTTTGGAATGAAGTGAAAGTATCGAAAAGTGTTTGACAATTACGCGTTCAAACAGTGATCAAGTGTTCATTTAGAAAGAATTACGAAACAGGAAGTACTTTTACTCAGGTTTCGCAACTGAAGAAGGCTAGATATGCAAGTGACATTTTGTTGCTTAATATATCAATTGATTCCTTAGTCATTACTCATTGTGATTACCCTACTAGCATACTAGACATTGCTTTTTAATATTATAACTATCAGTCTGCAATGTATACCTAATCATAATATACATATATAACAGATAGTAATTAAAATGAACAATAATTTCTGCAATATAAATAATAACAATTAATAATCGATTAAATGATAATTAGAATGGTATGAAAATAATACCAGTATGTATAATTACATTTATGTCTGAATAAAAGTCAAGATTAAATTTACCAAAAGCAGCTGCCCCCTTTTATTAACTTCAAAAATAAAAGATCTGGGACTAATCCTGTTGATATGCTTGGCAATTCCAGTGTTAAAAAATAATATGAATCATTGTCAAACGGGGGGAGAAAATTTATTCCTCTGGCTTAACCCTCTGTACTTCAGAGACAACCTTCAATCACCGTTTAATAAAATAATTCTACGTGTTAATTTATATATTATATCATTTTTTATTTAGTATGTTAAAAAATACCATCAACTTTATAGCAGGAAATCCTCGAATTGGTATTTTTCTGTAATGAAAATTCGTCAAGTGCGAAGGTTTAGACTTCATTTTGTTCGTCTAAAGACTATGGCATGGTCTAACAGTGGAACTAGGCTGTAAATGAAAAATTAATCAGCCTCACGATCGGCAGATGCAAAATGATTAAAAGAGAAGAAGAGAGAGAGAGAGAGAGAGAGAGTGATCTATCTACTGAGCTACTTTCATATTTTCACTCCCGGGACACGGGAGAAAGTTCTCGAGATGTGTGAAACCCGGTGAATGCCCGTCATTGTCTTACGAAGACGTGTGTAATGATTACTAGAAAAGGAGGCATTCCTTCAGGTTACGAATACAGTACTAAACGATAATGGAGGTTGTGTAACGAAGAAAGAGAACAGCAAGAAAGGATAAACGAAAGAAAAACTAGAGTCGATCAAAGGTTAGCTAATGTTAGCATTTTGTCACGAGGTAAAGACTCGTAACATTTTGTCACAAGTTTGAGAAATAAATGAAGATACGAAATGACGAATACCAAGGTCTATATTTAAATACCCTGTATAACTGAAGTATTGAATTAAAATATAATCATTTCCAGGTCTGAGGACTAAGAACTCTTTCAGAACTTTGTTATATGACTTCAATCTGGAACTTTCTCACGTTAACACCGTGTTAAATGATTCGATTAAACGATACAGAGTAACAAATAGTAATACATAGCATGCTATCGACAGATTAATTCGATATAGTGGAGTTTCGCTTTTATGCGATGGTGAAGGCGGAAATGAATCGCGCAATATTGGTAAAAGAACTATACCGTGAAAATCGATTATTCAGGGTAATTAAGTGGATTGCCTCATTTCCACATTGATAAATATTAGCCTTTTTTAAATGTCCAATTTGCTTCGTCGCCATAATAATTTTGCACGTGTATTCTAAAATATAGAAGAAGCTTTATTTTTGTATTATTAAATATTAACTATTTTAGAAATATTAATGCTCTTCATTACCATAAAAATGTTTCATCTTGTCATGAATATTCAAATATAGCACAAGACTTTATTTTTTGCTATCATAACAATTGTTTTTGTTATGAAAAATTCAATTTTTAAGTAGTATTGAATGTGAGATATTTTAGAAGTTGATTAATTTCCTTTGTTATTCTAAAAATTTTGAATGTTGTTATGAATTCTCAAATATTGAATGAGATTTTATTTTCACATTACTAAATATTAGTCATTTTGTTTGTCATCGCATTGCAGAATATTGGTCATTTCAGAAAGATCAATTTTGCTTGTCATCGTGAGAATTTCTCTTGTTGTTATGAATTTTCAAATATAGCACAAGACTATTTTCATATTGGTGAATATTAATCATTTTAGAAAGATCAATTTTCTTTAATGTAATAAGGATTTCACACATCAAATGTAGCACAGAACTTTATTCTCACATTATTGAATGGTAATCAGTTTAGAAATACTAATTCTTTTTGTCATCATAAAATATTCTGGTATTGTTATACATTTTTTAACATGACTCAAGATCCTGTTCTTTTATTATTAAATATTAGACATCTTACAAAGGTTAATTGTCATATTTTCTTATTCTTATGAATTGTTAAATATGAGACAGGATTTAATTCTCACTGTACTAAATATTAATCATTTTAAAAATACCAACTTCCTTTGCTACCATAATAGTTTATTTTATCATGAATTTCTAAATATGTCACAGGATTTAATACTCATATTATGTAATGCTAATCGGTTTAGAAAGACTAATTCTAAAAATTTCTAGCATTGTTATGTATTCTACTGAATACTAGACATCTTATAAAAGTTAAAACCATTTTAATAATGACACTTTCTCTTAGTCTTATGAATTCACAAATATGACACATGTTTGTATTTCCACATTTCTGAATGCTACAAATCTATACTGTTATAAATTTTCATACATGTTACAGGATTTTCACTTTGCTAAATATCAATCATTTCAAAAATACCAATTTTCTTTGCTAACATAACCCTTTAGTTTATCATGAATTTCTAAATATGTCACAAGGTAATATTTACGTTATGGGATACTAATCAGTTTAGAAAGAACGATTATCTCTGTCATAGTGAGAATTAAGCATAATGACGTTCAATGAATTGCAGATCATTTCAAGAAGCAGGCAGATGACGCGAGGCGAGCTTTGATCGCGGCATCGCCATTAAACGCGAGAAAGATACAGAGGATCGTCGCCTGCGCGCGAAAGTAGGCCGACGCGCACTTTTTAGATCGCAGCGCCGCGAGAAACGCTGTGGCCCGATCACAGAAAGTCCGTTTTCACTTGCACTCGCGGCATAGCTGTGCACGGGCCCGCCACTGGCCATCTCGATTAATTAATGGAAAACCAATCGCCTGCGTACGATTCGCGTCCTTGCCTGTATTAACGCGCGATAATGGAACGTCGACTAGGCTGGCGGGACGAATGTAAACGGCACTTAAAGCATTTATTGCATAGGCATTCCGCGTGAGTATCGTTCGCTACGCGAACAGTTAAAGTCGTTTAATTTATACGAGCGATCGGGGCCGCTCTCCCTTTAACGACACAATAAAACAAAATTGCAGTTAACGTCCAGGTTAGCATGGTTCATCCGCGAGAAAAGAAAACGTGGGAGTAAGAGAACGCAGAGAAAGAGACCGTGTAGGAGCCGCGGTACGTAACGAAGGAGACAGGAAAAACAGGCGAGAAGGAAGAGATGTAGAAAGAGGAGATAGGAAAAGAAAAGGATGGGAAGAGAAGAGCAAAAAATAAGAACGGTATAGCGACTCACCGTGCGCAGCCAGGAACAGCAGAAGTAATGAGAGAACCTGCGACGATACCATTGTGACTTGTAGCCTGTTCGGCCTTGGGTAAGACCAATTCGATTAAACTCGAATCTACTCGAATTTCAGTCCGACGGCTGGAACCATCCAAAGGTGGGGCTGAATGCGTGAAGTGATTCTTATGGGAACCGAAGAAGCTCGGCTGATGAGTTTTCGTGTCGAGACTGGTCACTGGGAGAGGCGTTTGGCTTCGTGTCTTATATGAGCTCCCCACTCTTCCGGCAGGTCCGATCTCTGCCGCATAGGAAGGCCTCCCTGGAGAACACACCTGGTTTCTTCTATCGTGGACTCCGTGGCGTACTCGGTATCCTCATCGATGATACTCGGCATAGATCGCCTCCCGTATCGGAAAACAAAACGTTTCGTCGGTGACTCTCGCAGTGAGAACGCTGTCCTTCGTTCTGCTTTTTGCTTGTGCGGCATTTCTTCAGAATGATGGAACTAGATAGCAACGGGTAAAAGGCAGAGTAATTATTAATACGGGGTATTTGTGGAATTGATTAAAGGAGTTATGAAAGTCGTTTTTCTACTTGCTTTGATTGGCAGTTCGTGGAAAAGATGCTATATTGTTGGGCAAGTGCTGAGAAATTGTTTGTTTCTATTTTGAGTAAAATTGAATTATTGGGAGATATTTTTTTGTATTTTTGTATATATGTATATGTTTAAATAATTTGTTTTTTACTTCTTTTTAAAGGACGTAGATGCTTTACGCGACAAAAATTGTATACATGTATTTGCATCAAACAATTTAGTAATTTAATATAAAATAAAGTTATTCAATTTATGAAATGTATTATTCATAACTTTAAATTTCAATATTATTTTGCAGTAATTACAATAATATATGATATATATTTAATATTATTTCTTTGTGAAGAAACTAATTTGCTTTTTAAACTTATGCAATAAGATTTATTGATATTCAAATTATTTATTATCTTTAATTATTAATTCTCTTTGATTTTGTTTGACAAAAACGATTCAGTTGTTAAGGTGCTGTCATGTATTTTCATTTCCTGCATTAGTTAGTGAGGAAGTAATATTATTATTTCTCTAGAGGTTAAGTTAACAAAACATTCTTCATTATTTTTCTGCATATATATGCCTATCATTTATTTTAAAAGTAATTCCCATTTTGATTTGAGGAAATGTATTAAAGTTATAATACAAATTTTAATAAAATTCGAAACTTAAACAATGTTTAAAATGTTCAAAACAAATTATACAAATAGCATAAATATATAAAACATTTCATAAGATTATTAGTAACTCTAATCATTTATAGAAATTTGAATTTACAATTTAAACTAAATAAGATAAATTTACATGTCAAACTAATAGTAGGATGTTTTTAAAGAAATTTTCATTATTACCTACTCCTTGAATTTAGTACACTCTCCTTTCTTATTGATATTTAGAACACAATATAGGAATACACTCAAGAGAAATAATTTTATTACACGTGACACACATTTATACTTTCCCCAGTAAAAGATATGGATACATGTAGTTTGCACAATTAATTGTTGCTCTTATTAGCACTAGTTAACGTTTTCTATTCAGTGATAAATTTAAATTAACTTTACAAATGTAGTTCAGTCCAAAGGACTTTCAAGGTAATAACATTGGTTACCCTGATTTCTCTTTTCTTTTCTAAATTAATTTTATATGATTACCTTCAATTTTTTTTGTATATAATTGCATAATTTTTCTATACCAGTTAGCTGAAATAGATACAAATTTAGTAAACTTAGTAAAAGTTGTTCTTCTATCGAATGAGCCATATAGTGATAAAAACATTCAACAAGTAATTTCGTACAAACTGCATGCACATATACGGCTTTTAAGTCACATCACGTTGTTGGAGGTTAAAATAAACGTCCTTGCGTTATTCTTGAAACGACTTAATAATAAGTGTCTGAATTATTAAACGCATCGAACGATTGTAATCGTAAAATTAACTCGAAATTCACGTTCCAAACACAAGATCCGGAATATTAATTTCGCTTTGCATTCCTATCTCTCGAGATCAGTACGAGCAGCCGAAACCACGTGCCAGGTTATGTTCCTTCATTTAGTGTAATAAACCGCCGTATAACACAAATATGTTCTATTAAATATGTGCGTGACCGTAATTGAATCACATTACTTGATACTATCGTTTAATATTTTAATTTAGAAGTCTAGTACATCATTTCCACGGACTATTCATTGCGTATCACTATAGCAAAGCTACTATACTGTGACAGTACTATCTGTGAAAATGTAATGAAATGTAAACTTATACGGTGTTATACAAGTTCATTTTAATGTATTACATTGCCACAGTTCTAGCATCGTGTTATATGAAACCGTGCAATACGAGTCCATGTTGTACGGGGGTCTACTGTATAATCGAATTTATCGTGCGATATTTCACGCTCGGATACCTTACTTCGACGCTGGGCAAATTGCGTTGGCACTATCGTCACAAGCGATCGTGTTCCAGTCCGTTTTCTTTCCCTTTTGCGTGATCAAATATATGCAGAGATCCTTCCTGCTTTCTATGCCATCTCCCACTGCTATTTTTCCATCATGTTAAGACGTCATTTATCTTGAGGAAAATCGATTCGATTAGCGATTGATCAACCGCACGTACATAGACCAATCTTACGAAACATCCTGTATCCTTGGTCCTTCATAGAATTTGCGTCATTTTGAATTCCTATTGCTCAATGGTAAAGAATTTTTTAATTTCAAATATTTAAAATGTTAAAAAAGTAGGTTTAATACCTTACGAGGTTATGTTACTTACTGAGAGAAATAGAAACTGCATAGCCAATATACATTGACATTCATAATTATTCAAGGAATTTCAGAAGTCGATGGACGTTACTTGAATAAATTAGATTTCAGATACGTTCAATTTGCAACCAATGGAATCAATGTAAATAGTCTTCATTGTTGTAATAAAGAATCGCATACGCTAACAATAGCAAGGTACGCTTATTTATATTTTTCAATCAAGTATGGTTGTATCGTTTGAATTGATATTATTAGTAATACCGTAAATTATAAAAATCAATGCTATAAATATAAATTATAAATTATATATTCTTTACAGATAATTTATTTGTTCATAAGAAATAATGTAGTTGAATTGCAATAATTTGTAGAAAGTGTACTTACGTATATCAAATAATATTTTCGATTTGTAATTTATACACATGAATATTGTAATAAAATGGAAAGAAAACACATTAAAAAACATATCAAGAAATACATATTGTAATAAATCTTTGTAAAACAAAAAATTAAATAATTATTTTAAAACAAATTGTAATGAATTTACATGTGTGACAATACTAAATTATACTAATATTATACTAATTGTGTGACAATACTAATATTATACTAAAATAAACTGATTATTTAGATAAATGTATCGAATTGTGCAATTCCAATTTATATTTTTTATGACATAAACAAATCACCCAAATGCGAAATTAATATTAGAATAAAAATGTAGTGGTAAAATAAGTTCTTCAATAATTGTTAAAAGATCATAAAATTGATCCGAAATTTCATCATGTATTAATATTCTCTTACTGTTAGTAATATAATTATTGTTATAAAAGAACGAAGAATTATTGAGGGAATTTATTGAATAAGGCAAATATTATTAATGCAGAAAATATACGAGTTAACCAACACATTTTTTAAATTTCATAAGAATCGATTCGTAAAATAATAAATACCTGTACAAAATATTCATTTTCTTTACCACAGAACGGGTCAGAAATTTAGAAATCCAACACCATTATTAAAATATCAAGCAAGATGAAATGAATAATTAGACATATTAGACACTAAATAACACACGTGCTTCATAGAATAAACACGCAGAGGACATTCACCGATCAGATATCAGGACGATCTTTGATCTAGTATCTTTTAGATTGGAGGTTATGTAAAGTTAAAAGCGGTGTGCAACGGGTAGCTAACGAAACAGGTCGTTTTTCATTCTTTCGAAAGTGACGAATGGGTGTTTGCTCGATATATGAAGATTACTTCGCGTAGAATCCGTATCACAGCGCTATCTGTGAAATCCTGACGAATGATCTCGCCTTACTCAGTGGCAATGAACTATGGTAAACAAGCTGATTTCAATAACCGAGAATCATGTGTTTCTTGGTTAATTCTATGGTAGTCGATCTTCATAAAAGGAACGATATTCATTTGCGTTTCTATAGTCTCAAAAGAAGACCTTCACGGTTTCTTTCACCGGTTCGAGCTGCTTCACGCGATAACTCGGTGAAAATAGCGGTGAAGTATTCTTGATCACTGGATGAAATTCACTCACGCAGATTTGTTTCTCTTTTTGTCGCGTTTGCTGCGCTTAGACGGAAGTAACCTCGTAATGTGGTTGAAAATGAGAACAGATGGATGAACTTCCTTACGTATGATTCGTGCTTATGACAACTTATGGTATGTTATTATAATTATTTCTATAATTTATATCGTTCAATTATCTTTTATTTCTCAATCATTTTTTACAATTACATGGCTATCACATATCAGAGTTTACTAGTGAAACTATGTATCGTAAATATTTATGTGACGTAAATATATATATATGTGTGTATATATTGTTAACAGTTATTTTGTGTAATTTATGGTTTTAATCATCCATAAATTTAAAATATTTCTACATGAGGTACATGATAGAGGCTTCATTTTAAATGTGAATGTGAATGTAATAGTGTATTTTTCACATAAATGTATCGAAAAGTGTAAAAATGATAGAATATGCAAATTAATTACTTAACCTAAAATATTTGTATTCGTGACAAATTAACATGTTTTTCAAATAAGTGATATATAAAAGAGTGGAAATATAAAATATACAGAAGCGAATGATTTCATGAAACATAATCACAATAAAGCGTTAATTAACAAATTTCTAGTTTCGTGTGATTCTATGTAAAAAGAATGCTCGTTAAGTAGGTATATCGTAATAATTACAATAATAATGGCGCATTTTACCATGAATCACGAGCTTCGTTCTCCTTTTCATAGTTCTCGTACTTTTACAGA